TTTAGAGGAAGGAAGGTGGGCGCTGGTAACTTCCAGGAGAGTCCAGAAAGGTCCCAAGGTGCTGAAAACGTGCTGTCCCCTTTGCTCTGAGTAAAACCTCGAGCCTCCTGACCACATTCCTTCCTGCTGCTTCATTCTCCCTGGGGTCCTAGACCGGGGGAGCGGGGCCTGGGGGAGCTGATCAGAATAGTTCTGTGGCGTGTCCAGCAAGGAGCTTGGCCTGGCCCTTTTCCTGGGGCCAGACCCTGGGACCCTTTCCCAATTTCCTGTCTCAGATATGCTGACCAAGCACAGGCCTTCCTCCTTGATGGGGGCAGCTGGTCCCAAGCCAACAGCTCTCAAGGGTTGAGTCACTCCACGTCTTTCCTTCCTCAGCTCTTCATCCTGCTGGGACCTCAGAAGGAGCTCTCCCCTCTTCCAGCTGCTGAAAGCCACAGATGGGATGGCAAATTCAAGGTGCCTTTGATAAAACCCCACAAACCCTCATCCATGGGCTTGGTTTTTCTCCCAGACCAGTGATTTCCTTTACAGTCACCTCAAGAGCTAATATTTGCTCTTTCTGAACTGACTTTTCTGTATCTGCAGGGACCTTGCCCAGCCCAGAAACTCTCGCACATGAAACTGCTGCGCCCCAGCTGACAGGAAGCTGCGCAACAATACCTTCTCCACTGGTGCATGCAATTCTAACATTACGGCTTCGTTCCTTCGGGATGAAATTTGTTACTATTTAAATGATACTCGTGATGCTCACTTTCATTCTTGCTTTGCCTAGCACTCGTTTACAAAGCATATTCATTATTTTAGGCTTCCCAACTCTTATATGAGATGGATGGAGCTAGTAACTCTGTGTTTATATATCAGCAAAGAGAATGCAAATGACTTGCCCATAGTCGCATGCCTGCTAAGGAGGAGAGCTAGATCTTCTGGTCCCCAGTTCAGGGGGTTCTGCACATTACCATGCACCATGCTCTTGTGGTGCTGTCCCTGGAGCACAGGGTAAGGTAAGAATGGGCACTGCGGCCCTGTGTGAAGCAAACTCTTGCTTTCCTCCTGATCAACCCGGGGAGTCTCTGAGCTTCCCCAGCTCTGTTCTGCCCCTGGCTTCTCTGATCACTAAAAGCCCCATGGATTCTACACAGCAGGATACGGGCCTCCACGGAGGGGAGCAGCCAGATCTCCTTGCCAATCCCTCACAGCCTGCGCCCACGGGATCTCTCTGCTAAGGCCTAATAGCCCTGGGGTCTTGCTGGGCTCCAGACTGTGCAGCTAAGAAGGGCTTATCTCCTATCTCAGACATCTGAAGAACTGAAAAATGCATGAAAGAATTAATGGGAGCCTAGAGCCAGAAGAGCCTGTCGAAGTCATCTGCCTGTGACTGCTTCAGCCCTTCACAGTGTCTCTGACCAGAGTTTGTCCAGATCCTGCTCAAACACCCCTCATCCCAGAAAGCTCACTACTCCCCAGGCAGCCCTTGACGCCATTCAGATTTGTACTAGACTTAACTTGAGTCTTCTGCTGTAAGCCCTAGGTGCTACCATGGGTCCCTCATTTAATCCCTACCATCAGCCATTCAGGAAACAGATTCAGAGATTATGTCATTTGCCCAAAGTCAAATGAAGAAAGGTGTCATTTCCAGACTTCTCACCCTCTTATCTGTTCCACAGATCCATTTTATTCTGCCAGCATGTCCCTTAAAAGAGGTGCCCAGAAGTGGTGGCAGAACTTTCTTATGAGGACCGATCAGTCAACCCAGTGACAGACCTGTTATTCCCCCTTTGGGAGACACTGATCCACCTCCAGCCATATCAGATCTTTGACAGCAGCATCTCAGACTCACACCCTCTGAGCTCCCAGTCATTCTAGAAGCCCAGGGTTGTTTGGGGTTTTTTCTTATGTGACTATAAGGCCATTTCCCCGGTTCCTTTCTGTGTTTAGCTGGTCACAAGCACTGGACTTCACATTCTTACCTGTTTGAGTCAACCAGCTTCCTGAGAGAAACTCTGCTGCTCAGTATGACCACGGGTTCCTGCTGTGGGCTGGCTACAAGCCAGACTTTGGCAGTGACGCCAGAGTGGCCAGACTTCTGTGGAATTTGGCATCCCAGGAGACTCTTGGTGACTGGAGACAGATCCCATGGTAGCCAAACCCCACAGGGAATAGGCCCTCAGCCCCTAGCCGACAGTAGGCTTGTGGGCGGAGCCAGAGTGTCTCAGCCTGGCAAGTGACAGTCCTTAGGGACTCTCCTCTCAGTCTCCCATAGCCCCTGAAAAGTCTTCAGTCCACAACCTCGTTGGAGCCGGGAACAGGAGAGGCTCCCTAGGCGCCATCTCGGGTGGCCAAGGCACATTCCCAGGCTCCAGCCCAAAGGACTGCCTTGGGAGTTCTTCCCCAAAGCTTTGGGAAGGACACTTCTGGGCTCAGTTGATCCTTGAGAGTCTCACATGTGTATTTCTGTGGTTGAGGAGAGCTGGGGCCAGCCTTCGTGGTGTAACCCACTCTGGGAGCTCATCCTGTGAGTGGCTGGAGTTCTCCCAGTAAAATTCATCTATGGAATTTTAGAAGTTTCTTTCTGGATCCATAGTTTCTCAGGGTTAGAAGGACCCTTCATGTTTATTAGATTAAATAAATAAATTTCATATTAAATAGATGTATCTTCTTTTCTACAATATCTTTGTCAGGTCATTCTCCAGCTGTGCAAGAACACATCTACCTCCTAAGATAGCCTGTTCCGTTTTTTACAATAGTGAAAGTCTGCCTCTCTGGAGCTGTGGTTCACTGGCCCTGCTTCTACTTTCCTGCTGTGTGGTTTTCTGTAACCCTCTCTGAAATTTTCTTGGAGGGTAATGGTATAAACTCATCTTAACCAGAGTCTGAGGCGATTCATTGGTAGCCATCAGTAGTACCTGAAATGATGCCCTGGGGGAGGAGGCTGGCGAGAACTTGTCTAGCTGGTGGAGACAAGCTGTATGACTTTTGCTATTCAATAATTGAGTGTCCATCTCAGGCAGGCAGAAGCTGTCACGTGGATGGCATGGCAAGGTCAGGACTAGGAGGAGCAGGCACATTTAGGACATAAACAAGAGTAAAGTCTAGCTGGGCACAGTGGCACACACCTGTAATCACAGTGGCTTAGGAGGCTGAGGCAGGAGGATTACAAGTTCAAAGCCAGCCTCAGCAACTTAGCAAGGCCCTAAGCAACTCAGCAAGATCCTGTCTCTAAACAAAATATTAAAAAGGGCTGGGGATGTGACTCAGTGCTTAAGTGCCCCTGGGCTCAATCCCCAGTACCAAAAGAAGAAGAAGAAGCAGAGAGAAGTTTCGAAAGTTTGATTCCAACCATGCCGAAGCAATTAGGGATGCAGATAAAAGAGTTATCTATCTCATGGAACCATTGCAAGGTATACGGGAGATAGTGCATAAAAATAGCCCCATGTTCCCAGGCATGCAGTAAGCACCCAGGAAGTGTGAGCTCTAAGAAGCTTAGTGGCACAGCTAGGGAAGGGGTTTAGGAGGATGAGAGGTAGCCATGGAGATGAAGGATTGGAGAGAGAAGAGTTAGAAGAATTAAGAGACTTTCTAGTCTCAGAAAGAACTGATATAGGTGGGACCATCGTGGTAAACAAAAGATGGTGAATCTTAGATGCCAGGAGGGGATAACTGCGGAGCCTTGATGGCTGGCTGGACAGAGTCATCTCCACGTGGCAAGCTGGATACGGGTATTTCAGGATCAGGGCTCAGGCACAGTCTCACAGACCCCACGAGACTGCTTGGAAGAAAGGAAAAGCCGTGCAATGTTCTTGCTGTGACTTTCAAGTAGCTGGGAGGACGGGCACTCTCTGCTGTCATGACCAAGGACATTTGAGATGTCTCTGCCTGTTAGGATCCCAAATCCTCTTGTTAGAACAGTTCGAGATAATGTTGTTGTCAACAAAGCTGTAACACTGGGAAGGGTAACACTTCTACTTGGTCATAAGTCTGAAAACAGGCCCTAATAAGCGAGAGGTGACATAGATGGCCAGAATCAAGGCCCAAGAGAAAGAGGGAACGTGGAGAAATGGCATTAATGTGGGAGTAGAGCTGGGAGCCTGTCACAAGTGGAGAGGAGCACTGAAAAGAGGAAGTGGGAGAATGCCGAAGATATACTTAGCTCGCTTCACAGCCCTGCCTCGGAAGCCCCCTGTTTGACGTCACTGTCAGCCCACTTGGCAGGCCTTAGGCTTTGAGAGTGCTTCCCCTGTGCTCAAGTCAAGCTCCAAGTGCTCACTGCCCTTCATACAGATGTTAGTCTTTGATCCTGTCAGGGCATAATCAGAATCGCAGCTGGAAAGAGAGGAAGCATGGGAACAGAGCCATGTTGTTGGGCAAAGTGTCATTTCTCCTGTGTGAGAGGGGAAGACAGCTTGGCCTTGAGCACTTTACAAGCATTAATGTCTTATTGCTTCCTTTTAGGGAAGGAGGGTTCTGGGAAAAAAATGGCTGCCTCCTCCTCTCTGTGGTCCATCCCTGCCCAAAGAGTAGATAGGACCCTGATTTGGCCCCAGAACTGATCCCACCCCAGAGTCCACTCCAGCAGTGAGCCACATCTGGGTTAGTCACCTGGCCCAGCCACCACTCCCCCTGTCCCTGAAGCCACCAACCCTGTCTGGAGCTGGGTGCTGGAACTCCCTGCATCTGGACACCAGGCAGGTGCCAGAGAAGAACACAGGTGGTCGTGCCAGACCCAGAGCTTCTAGAAAGGAGCAAGCCTAAAGAAAAGCAAATGAAAAAGAGGTCGAGGAGCCTCAGGCTCGGGTGTCAAGGTGGTCCCACTCCCCACACTGCCCCCACCTCACCCCAGGCCCAGAGGCTCGGGGTCCTTCCCAGGTGTTCCTGGAACAGCACAAACTCATGACCCATCCCACCGGGTGCTGTTGCAGCCTTGCCAAGGAGCCACAGGGGTTTCTCTTTGGAATTTGCTTGGCGTGTTTTGTTTTTATCTCTTTTGCATTTTTGTCTTCCAGAGTGGAACCCTTAAGGATCCGGATTCGAGCAAGACCCCACCTCAGCGGCCTCCCCCGCAAGGTTGTTTACAGTATATTCTCGACTGTAATGGCATTGCAGTAGGGCCAAAACAAGTCCAAGCCTCTTAAAGTGATCGGTAGTTAATTTTTCAAAAGCAGAAAATCTTAAGCCAAAAAAACAAATAAAACAAAACATAAAAAAAAAGAAAAAGAAAGAAATGAAAGTGGGGGAGGGGAGAACAGCCCTCCGCTTGGTCGGTGCCTGTTGCTGCGTTCTGTTCTCAGTGCTGACTGGACTGTGTTTTTCCTATGCAGTGTCAGCTCCTCTGTCTGGTTGTTGACCTGTTCCTGTTCGTGCTTGTAATGCTCACTCAACGTTTCTCTGTATAACTTTGTGATTCCAGGGCTGTTTGTCAACAGTGTACAAAAGAATCGTGCCTCTCCCAAGTCCAGTGGGACTCTACCTTATGGGCGGGTTTGCTAGTGTTTTTTAAAGTATTAGATGATGCCGGGTGAGCTAGGAGCATGGAGGATGGACAGGGGAGAAACAGGCCACTGGAATAAAACCCAGCTCCCCCGTCTCCTCCCGCAGGCTCAGACTAACACCCCTCCCACTGACCTCCATGAGTGTGCTTGGGATCCTCAGTGAACTGTGCTTTCGCTTCCTTTCTGCATGTCTAGGGTAAATAGAACTTTTAAGAGATTTTCAAGATCTGATTTCCATAGCTTCATCCGTTGAATTTGAAAGCATCCACCTTTTTCCTCCATTTGCTAAAATTTGGTGCCGTTTTGAGTTTATGTGAATAGGCTGGCTTGTGCCTGTAGAGCTCTTGTGTTTTTAGTGATGAAATACAAAGAACAAGCTACTTCCAGGAATGTGTTCTGTATTTTACATCCCAGTGTACGCTTCGTTTTGCTGATGAACTCATGAGAGTAAACAAAAACAAAACAAAACAAAAAAACGGGGCCGCCGATGTGCAATATCCAAGTGAACTCGTGTTTTCCGTGTGTTGATCTCAGACCCCCAAAGTCGTTCCTTCCTTGTTGCTGTTTCTGAACCAGCCATACGTGCATTTTTTTCTGGTGCCAGGGCTGCTTTGTGTTTCCCAAAGCTTGACCTACGTTCAGAGATGATTCTTCAGCAATGTTGGAGAGAGAATGCAGGGAACTACTAAAAGTCCAGGAAGGGTTTGCCCACTCCTGAGGCGTGGTGATGTGACACCAAACCTAGACACCCTGCGTCACCCCAGTGGGTAGGTTACACTGCCTACGGAACTCGGAAGTTGATGCCAGCTTTAGTTTTTAGCTGCTGCTATAGCCCGCCACGGGCCTGGGAATGCAGAGCTTTCTGGAAGGAGCTGTCTCCCATGTAGCTTGTGTGTGTGTTGGACAGAGGCTTCGCAGCTGGAAGAGCCCTCCCAGTTGGAAGCATCTGGGCAGATGATGCGGCAGTTCATTAAACCAGGACTCGGAATCAGTGCCTCGTCTTGCCATCTCCGGGCAGGGCTGGGAATGGGTACCAAGTGGCCTTCTCTAGCACCGTGGCCCTGGGGAGTTCATGCCAGCAGTTTGCCTTTTACAAGAAATGCTTCTGGCTCTACTTTTACATTCCCTCGCACCTCTGTACCGACCTGGCCCCATTCTAGACGACCAGGTCTGAGGAGTCAGCAGGGTTGGCAGCATAGATCCTGAGGGACATGTCAAGGGGCACATGCCCTGGTTCTCCTTTGGCAAAATCCGAGGCCATAGAGAAATGCACAGAGTGTGAATGTTCTTGCCTGTGATCCCTCCCTTGGATGATGGTGGTAGTCAGTCTGTTGTAAATATATACATACACGCACATGTGCACTCGCAGGTGGGTTGCTTAAGAATCAGGTCCTTAAATACCTCCCAATCTGATGAAATGGTAGACAGTGACATTTCCCAGAATGGAGGAACGCATTTATTTTTGTTTTTCGAATATTTTTGTCCAAGCAGTGAGCTGATGGTGGTGTTGCTTCTCTGCATGTTATCAGTGTGTACATCCAGGTGCTTTTCATGTGACATTCAGTGAGCCACAAATACAAAGTTGCCATTTGACTTCAGTCAGGCTACAAAGGTGGGGTCAGCCGCGGCCTCTGAGGCAGGGAGAAGCCGATCAGGACTCCCACTGCCAAATGCAAGCAGAGCGTATCACCTGACTGTCATGTGCCCTCAGGCAGCATGCTAAGGGACAACTCTGTGGCCTGAGGGACATCTGTGTCACAGTGTAGGATTGCCGTTCAGGTGTTTTGTACACATTTCTGATGTTGTCCCCCACTCCCCTCTTTTTTTTTGTACTGATCCAGCTGGGAGACCCTCAGCCAATGCTGGAGTGTGATTGAAGTACCTCTCTCTTTTGTGACTCTCTTGTACAGCTTAATGTGCAATAAAGGAAAAGTTATATCTGTCTTCAGTGTTAAGTTGTAAAGTTTCTGGCTATTCACCTCTCTGTACAGTGGGAAAGCACGCAGGGTTCTGGAACAAGAGGCTGAGCTCTCAACCTGAATGACTTCACAAGAAAATCCTAATACAGATGATGTGAAGCTTGGGGAGACACAAGAGCTGATTGACGTGGGATAATCTTCTAATCTGTCATCATCCATAGTTACTTGACTTGAACTGTGAACTTCTTAAACATGCAGAATTTCATGTATTTATGTATGTACCTATTTATGTGTGACTAACCCTGATATTCATTGGTTAAGATGATAAAGGGGAACTCGTGGCCTATCCTAGGGGAGCCGACTTACAGTCATGAGGGCACAGTGGCATAGACATATGGTCCTGCCTCCCCAGAACCCGAGGGTTCTGGTGTTTCTAGAAAACTAAGTACGAATACGACTCTCAGCTCCTGTTGAGTTTCTGTAAGCTCACTGTTTCCAGCCAGCCCATGGGATTGAGGCCAAAAGCTGGATCTTCCAGGCCAGTCGAGCATCATTTCCACTAGTTTACATGTGCTTGTGGGGTCATCTTTTGACTTTTGAGTGTAGGGACCCTCCCAACTCTTCAGCCAAATCTGGGCAAACTGGTTCTACCCTTATCGCCCATCAACCCCCAGAGGAAGAAGGGCTTTTTTTCTTTCAAGGCTACTGGATGGTTGTGTGTTTCATGCTGGGAGAAAGGTATACTGGTTCTTTATAGAGGGGCTTCTTGCCAGATGGTGCCTACAAGAATCCCCAGGGGACAATGGGGTTCAACTTTCTTCACACACTTGAAAGCCCCCGAGGATGACACTGAGAGGCAAGAGTGTCTGAGAAGAATGGACTGATCCTAGTCATGGGAGTTAGGGGTACAGTTTTGAAGCCCAAGTGGGGCAGGTGTGGCAGTCAGACCCACACAGGCTTGGAGCCGGACCAAGGGCAGCCCAGGGATGCCAGATGCCAGTCTGTGATGATCAGTGATGACCTTAAAGCCCAATTCTTTTTGAAGAAATTTCTCATCCATTATCTTCAAAACACTATCGTCTGCTGGGCGCCGTGGTGCACGCCCATAATCCCAGTGGCACGGGAGGCTGAGACAGGAGGATCGAAAATTCAAAGCCAGCCTCGGCCTCAGAGAGGCGCTAAGTAACTCAGTGAGACTCTGTCTCTAAATAAAATATGAAATAAGGCTGGGGATGTGTCTCAGTGGTTGAGTGCCCCTGAGGTCAATCCCTGGTATCCCCCATCCCTCCCCCCCCCAAAAAAAAAACACTATCATCTTAAAAGATTTAGGACTTATTGTTTAATGGTTTCATGGTTGGGAAAACCAAGACCCAGAGAAGCTTGGCGATTTGCTCAGGGAGTCGCTGATAACTCTTTCTTGGGTTTTCTGAATTCCAGTCTGGTGCTCCTCCCCTCGGCCCTCTCCTGCATCTGACGTATAGAATTTGGGAGTTCTGAGGAGTGGGATGGGGTCTGTCTGGTCTCAGGCCTTCTGTAAGAGAGCTTACCTCTGTCTGGGGCCCGGTCACCCCGGCTTTCTTCCCTGTCCTCCTGATTTCTGCCGTGACTCAGTTGCCATGTCTCTGAGGAGGAGTATGCAGTGATGACATACAAGGGCAGGGACTCCCTTTGGAGCCCTTGAGAGCCTGGGGTGGCTTCTCAGAGTAGAACTTATATCCCTTTGATACTTAACCACACCCTTTGAGACATAGATTCTACGGAGGAAACCCTTTGAAATGGTTAAATTATCAAGTTTTTCTTGTACTGAACCTAGGGGGCCCTGGGCAACCCCAAGGAACGCAGCCCCCAGGCAGAGTGCTGCCACCACGCCGGCTCCCCCCTGGACCATCACTGCCACCTTCCTCTTCCTCCTCCTCTTCCTCCTCCTCGGCTCCTCAGCGGCTGGGCGGCCCCACCGCCACCCACGGAGATGCACCCTCCAGCAGCAACTCCCTGGCAGAGGCCCAGCCACCCCCGGCCGCTCCTCCGCAGAAGCCCCAGCCTCACCCACAGCTCAAGTAAGAGACAAGCAGCAGCTCCTCCCTCCCCTTCTTCCTGCCCCTCCTCCTGGGCTCCAGAGCTGCTAGAAAGTTCCTTCAAGCTTGGCTCCTCCTACACATATTTTTTTTTTGCTGGTGTTGGTGTTTGTATTCTAGTGTTGGTTTTTGTTGTTGTTGTTGTTGTTGTTTAGGGTGAGGGGAATGTTGGGGGTTGACTAGGGAGGGGTGGGAAGTGGGATATGACAGTCTAAGGTCTAGCTAGAAGCTCACAGCCACCCCGCTTTCTTGTTGGGGAGTGGTACTGCTCCTGCACAATTATGAAGTTTTTCTTGTACTGAACCTAGGGGGCCCTGGGCAACCCCAAGGAACACAGCCCCGAGGCAGAGTGTTGCCTAGGGTTTTTTTTGTTTTGTTTTGTTTTTTAACCCATCTCTCACTCTCTTTTCTATTCCTTTTCTGTGTGCATCTCTCACCTTCTAAAAATATACATATCTTTCTTCTTTTTGGTTTTACACTCTTTCCTGCCTCTGACTCACAGTCTGGGGTGTGCAATCAGCAGGGCAGTCCAGAAGAAAGAAGAGAAAGTAATTAACCCCAAGTCCACTTGACCTTCAGCTCTGTCCAAAGTAGATATGGGCAGTGGAGGAGTTCCCAGATAGAGGTCCCCAGGAGGCCCTCTTGGGTTCCCTTATTCTCAGCTCTCAACCTGGAAGACCCCTCCACAGTGTACTGCGACACAAGAAAGCACTGGGGACCCCTTGGAAATAGCAGAGCAGTCCTTGGAAAAGGCATTCAGTTCCTCCTGCTCCCCCAGAACAAGACACACCTCTGGCTGCTGTCGCCCTAAGAGGATAGGAGGGGCCCACCCAGGCTTCTCAGATCCAATAAATCTATCTTTAGGGAGGGAGAAAAGGAGGTTTCAGATTTTCAGGGTTCCAGTGGGCCACTTGGAGATCACCTAGTCATCACAGAGATGAGAAAACCTTGCTTAGAGAGAGATTAGATGGATTTTCTTTTTCTCACATTTATTTTGTTCATTTCCTTTTATGTGGTGCTGAGGATCGAACCCAGGACCTCCTCACACACGCTAGACGAGCGCTCTACCGCTGAGCCACAATCCCAACCCTGGATTTCCTTTTTCAAAGCCACTCCTCTAGTTAGTGCAGAGCCAACGTTGGGGCTCCGGGGTCCAGATGCTCAGTTTCTCTGGGCCTTCCCATCCCAGGTGAGGGGAAGGGCACCACCCGCTCCTCTCCCCAGCACCAGCCAGTGGCACCTCCCACATTTTGCCTGCCTCTGTACCTTCTTGCTGGTGTTGAGTTTCCAATCTCTCCAGCCTTTCCAAGAGCCAGCCCTGCCCCCGCCTGAGGGCAGACCTTTAGGCCATCACCGCCTCTGGGCTGAAGCTGTCAAATAGAGCCAGTGTCTGATGACAAGCTGGAGGCCTGTACCTGGTGCCCTCTGCCTGTTGGGCCTACAGGAATTCCCTCCCTTGCAGAGGCCAGCGTGCTGGGGCTTGTCCCCAGCCCTAATGAAAGGCAGGCCATCTGTTCACAAAAGGAGAGCCTGCTACAAGTCCTACAGAAGCAGTTTTCCTGCATTTAGGAGAGGACACCAGGAGGAGAGTTCTGGAGCTGGAAATCATCAGGAAAGGGATTTGGTGCGAGTCAAGGAGGAGACAAGCCAGGACACTAGAAAAGCCAGAACTGATGTCCCCTTCAAGACTGTGGGCTTGACCTCCTCAGGGCCTCCTGCCTTCACGGTTTTTTTCCTTTGAATCACTCACTGGTCTCCAAAGGGAAAAACAGTTCCCTAAAATGTGATGGTTCTGTTTTTTTCATTAGCAGACTGCCTAATCATCATGTCCTGATGTGCATCTCTTGCTCCTCCATCCCCTGAGCCCCACAGACCTCATATCTGGGCTGAGAGACTTGCAGGGGTGACCATGCCCGCTTTAAGAACAGGAAAATGGAGCCCTTAGAGGTTTTGGCCAAGACAAAAGGTTCCTTTAGAGTCTGACAATAGAGAGGAAAGAACCAAGAGGGCCTAGGTATCATTGGCTCAGACATGTTCATGTCATAAGTGAAAACCCAAGTGTCACATGATTTGCCCAAGGTCAGGCACAAGTGAGTGTCAGAACCAAGACATGGAACCAGAATCTTCCGATGCCGAATCCACCACTTGGCAGCTGCTGGAAAGGCAAAGGCGAGAGCCCACAGGCCCGTGCTCTCTGTCTTTTAGCAGAGGAGCAGGGTGTGATGTTCCTGGATTAGCGATTTCCAAGTTGGGGGCCTCTGAAATTTATCCCTCAGTCCCTTTAGCATTCAACAGAAGCAACAGGGTTAGGGACACAGGGGGACAGCGTCTGCCCAGCCTGCAGGAGGCCCGCACTGCAAGAAAGGAAAATTTTTTAAAAATAAAAGATTTTGAGTCACCCCATCTTCTTCCTCCCCGTCTCTCTTTCCCCCCTTCTCTCTCGTTCTTTTCTTCTGCTGCCCCTGTCCTTTCCTATCTCAGCAGCACCTAAGGTGAGGAGGTAGCATGAGCGGTAGCACATGCCACCTGTGGCCCTGGTAGCCCTGATAGCATGCCCTGGTAGCACAGCCACCCGTGGCCTCCCTGGGGTGGGAGTGGGGGCTCCAGTTGTGTGTCCTTCCCTGCCTCGCTGGAACCCCACCCTCTCACCTTCTCTCTGGTTTTTATCTTCAAGCAAGTCGCAGTCCCTGACAAATGCCTTCAGCTTCTCTGAGTCCTCCTTCTTCCGGTCTTCAACCAGTGAGGACGAAGCCCAAGCGGAGACCATCCGGAGCTTGAGGAAGTCCTTTGCCAGCCTCTTTTCAGATTAGCTCTGCAGACACATGGGGGCACCCGACCCAGCCAGGAAAGGCACCCAGACATTCACCAACAACTGTCAGCCATGCTTGGTGGCCGTTTCCCCTGACTTTGACGTGTGTGGCCCCCTTCCTCTGCTCCGTCGTGCTCAGTGATGTTGTGCAGCCCAGAAAGGACCATGTGACAGACTCAGGGCAGGTGTCTACCCAGAGAGGAAAGAGCTGCTCCCCTGTAGTCATGAGAGCTTCCTTCTGTAGTTGTCACTGTGCGTTTAGTGGCCTTATTGTGACAGCGCCATTGTGTCTTCTTTCCGTGAAGCCAGATTCACTCTGAGGACTCCTGACAGCTTCCCCAGCTCCTAGGCAGTTCGAAGCATGCCCCTTCGTAGCCAGTGCCACCTGTGTGGGAAGTGTGAGCTTACCTAGATGTCCCATTGGCTCTGTGTTTTAAGAACCTTCCCGATTCCTTGTCACACCTGTTCAAAGCACACTCGCCCAACCCCCCACGATCCTTAAGCTGCTGTGGTGGCAAAGCACCTTAAGTCTGTGACATTCCGGAAAACTAGGTCTGCAGTGTCCTCTCTGGAGACTGTTTCTTTCGTAGGAGTGCAGTGACCTTGAACTCCTAAGCTACACCGTAGAGGAGAATGCATGCCACTATTAACAGCAGTCTGCCCAGTTTTGTGTTCCTCACCTAATAAATGTCAGACCTTTGGTGTAATAAAAGCAGCAACGTTCACCAGCATTTGATTCAGCCATGAGGTCTTCCCTGGGCCGCCCTTCAGGCTGAGAGAGCATATGAGAGGCACGCGCGTGTGTGTTTGTGAGTGTAGGCAATGAAAGCCTACGAGGGTGAGGCTGCTTGTGAGTGTGTGTGGACGTGACTGTAGGTACACACGAGTGGCTGCAAGGATGTGTCCATCCTTAACACGCCACTTACATTGGGCCTCCAACACACCCCAGCAAATCAGCCTCCTTCAGGACAGGAGGCCTTCCTATGGCCACTCAGCCTTTCAATAAACCATTTCCATAAGCATAGCACCCCTGCTCCTGTATGAGGTAGGTGAGACCCACTTTTCTGGTCTATTGAGCTCCTCAGCTAACGCCCACCTGGTGGTGCCAGCATCAATGGACCGAGCTGCTCTGGTGGACAGAGTCCCACACAGGCATCCTGGAGAGAGGCCCACAGTGGAGGTGGGTTCCAAGGGATTGTGCTGTGGCTTTTTCCTGACTCCTTGATGCTCAAGTGTGTTCCCAAAGGCCACAAATGCTCTGAAGATCAATGCACGTTGGCACTGATAAAAACAAATCTATTCACATCATACCTAATTTCCTGCACACGATACCCATCCAAGTCAACAAGATAACACTCCTCCAAATGCTGCCATCACGCCAACCCTCCTCCCAAGCTGTAGATACTAACAAGTCAGAGGTGAATTTCCTTTCTAAGTCACATTCATCCCATGTTTTCCAGGATTAAGGATTGAGATGTGCAAAACAGGAAGTGGAGCCCCCCCTTGAGTGGCACTTGAGCTGAGGTAGCCCTCACACCCGTAACTAGGGCACAAACCAATCAAAAGGTGGGGGCATGGTGAGGCTCAAGGTAATTGATCTGCAGGGTTTCTTCTAGTTCCAGCAACAGGGACAGGAGCGTGTCCTTCTGCCCTCTTCTGTAGCTGGCTGGGCCTAAGAATGAATTGAACACAGGATGAGATAAAAACAAGTGCTTTTTTTCTTTTTTTCTTTTTTTTTTTTTTTGGAGTTCTGGGGGTGGAACCAGGGCCTCACTCATGCTAATCCCGCACTCTATCTACCTCTGAGTTACATCCCTACCCCAGCATACGCATTTTATTTAACATTCTTACACACACACAGGAGTCTTCTTAAGAAAAGTGAAGGCCCGAACATAAGCCAGATTAAACAAAGAATGATAAATTATGATGAGATAAGACAAAGGAGTCTGAGCAAATGCCAATAAATTGTGAGAAAGTCACTAGAAAATTAACGGAAGAGAAGTTACAGATCTTAGGAAGGTTTTGTTTGTACAGATCAATCCCCTGTCTCTGGTGCTAGGGATGTTCTCTTCCATCTTGTACTGGTTGGGGGTGAGACACCTTCCATGTGAGAACTTTTAGATTATGTGTCAGGCACAAAGAGGGTCAGAGAATCCTCCCTGTATCTGTCATTGCTTCACTGTTGAGTTCAAAATGAACAGTATGTTCCCAACGTGGCATATTTTGAGGTGGCCTGCAGTGAACCAACCCCTTTGCAACCAAGAATCCTCCGCTTATCATTGCTTCTGTCCCCCTGATTGCAAATATCTTCAATAGAATGCATTCATTTACTCAAAAGCATTTATTGAACACTTACTATGAGCATAAAGATTGTGATGGATTCGAAGAAATCTCTACTAACACTTCCACGGGACCAGTTAACTTCCAGGTACTATTCTAACATATAACAACTTAATTATTTCTTATGACCAGGCTCTAGGATAAGTACTATTATTTTATATATGAGGGAATGAAGGTACATCAAAGTTCAATAACATGCTTGAGGTCACCTGGCTGGTCAGGTGATAAAGCTGGACTTTAAACCCAAGCAATAGAGGAGCAAAACTCATGGCCTTCATAACTACGCCATATTATTTGTTTAATCTAGCAGAGGCCATAAAATGTAATTTTATTAAATTTTGTATAATGTGATCACAAAATGAGACGCATACACCAAAGATCTTCACACCCACACCTGTTCCACCCACTTCCTTCACCTCCCCTCTATCCACGGGTCCAGGGAAAGGAGGTGGGGGAGAAGATTAAAGAACTTGTTACCAACGTTGACCCCTTGTCCTCCAACCATGAGTAACATACATTATATATCTTATGCGGGTCAAATATAATTCTGGTTCTTGAAAAATTACTCATTCTTCCACATGTGATGTCAGACCAAAAAAACCACAAGTAGCTTATTTAGAAAATGAGTCATCCTGGAGGAACAGCTGGGGGGACGAAAAGAGCAGACATTTACCATAGGTCATGCAGCACCCTAGTCCAAAGGACACATGGATTGTACCCAACCCTTAGTATTGGGCGGGACCCATGGGTGGGGGAGTTCCATTCAGACACAGGCCTCTTGGTACTTAATAAAAATGGCCCCAGAGATGGAGATATGGTTCCTCACAACAGTCACTAAATGCTTGATGAATACTAGGATAGAAATAAGGACCTAAAGGATGGGATCCCGAAAAAGCTGGTCACAGTTCTGTAGATGTTTTAAGATTTGGGCCTTATAGACAGTTGTGTTGACCGGTACAAATCACCTCTGCAGTTTTGGGGTATATTCTACCTCCATCTTCACCCCAGATTAATAAATGTAGAAAGCCTCATCTATATCCTCATGGAACTCAGTCATCTCCTTGGATCAAAATAAATTAATTCTGTCCATTATGTATTTACTCACAACTGTTTTTATAAACTTTTGAAGGTTTTTTTGGCGGGGTGGTACTGGGGATTGAACCCAGGGTTGTTTTACCACTGAGGTGCATTCCCAAGCCCCCTTCCCATTTTTTTGAGTAAGGGTCTCACTGTGTTGCTGAAGGTCTCACTAAGTTGCTGAGGCTGGCCTTGAATTTGTAATCCTCCTGCCTCAGCCTCCCAAGTCGCTGGGATTAGAGGCATGCACCACTCACCGGACTCTTCACAACTCCTCATTGTGTACTTCCTAAGCTCTTTAAGTTTCATGGGAGGAATGTTAAAAAAAAATGAGTTAAACAAAGCTAACAAAGTTTATTGCCCAGCAAAGGGAGATAGAAGAAGAAAATGTAATCACCATAAGACAAATGCAATCAAAATATTAGCTTGGAAAAAAGTGAAACTTGACAGTTAATGGTGAGGATATGAGAAACGGAACTTACACATGGCCGGGGGAGCACGTGTTGGTACCACCACGTCAGGGAACAATTTGGCAACGTCTCATGCACAAACCCGGTGATTGAGCAATTCTATCTCTGGACAGTTACACTGGAGACTCTCTTCACATATACAAGAGGAGGCAAGTCAAAGAATATTGATCAAAACACTGAAAAAAAAAATGGAAGCAACCAATCATCTCAATTGGACATCACTTTCCTATGTTCAAATATGAAAATATACCAGTGAAACTCCATATCATGTACAACCTCAAGAATGGAATCCTAATTAGAATAAGTTATAATCCATGTATGTATAATATGTCAAAACACACTCTAGTGTCATGTATATCTAAAAAGAAGAAATAAATTTAAAAAAAAACAACAACTATCTTATAGGGAATTAAAATATATATGGTAGTTCACTCATAAATAGAAATACTATTAGTCTCAGCTACTTGGGAGGCTGAGGCAGGAGGGTTGCTTGAGCCCAGGAATTCAAGACCAGCCTAGGCAACGTACCAACACCCCATCTTAAAAAATAAATAAATAAATAAATAGGAATATTATATAGGTGTTAAAATATGTGAGGAATTCAGATGAGCTCAGAAAAGATGTAGAAGGAGAATAAGACGGCTAAGCAAGTGTAAAATGGACACTAAGCAGCACGTGTCACCATGGAGCATGCTTCTAGCTTAGGGGAAAAGGTGAGCATGCTCAGGTCACAGGATGGGAAGGCACAGCAGCTGAGGGAATGGGGCAAAGAATATGGTTACTGAACTTTGTGGCTGGAAGTAGCATCTAATTCTGTCCCCTTATTTTACAGATGAGAAAAACGGAGGAGTTTGCCAAGGTCACAAAGGGGGTTAGTACTAGAAGCAAATGTGTCTTCATCCTAGATGTCTGAGGGGTCATTCAGGACATGATCCTTCCTAAGAGTAAAGAAATGGGTTTCATTTCCGGGGCCCTCCAGGGAGGGAGAGGTTATGGGAACGTCTCCCTGAAGCCAACAGGAAATGGGAAGAGACAGTGCCCACAGTGGAAAGAACCTGGGTTTGGGAATCAAATCTGCATTTAAATCTTGGCTGTGCTAATTACGAGCTCTTTGGCTCTGCCCAATAAGTTACTTAGCTTTTCTGAAGGCCAATTTGCTCATCTATAAAATGATAAGGATACTACTTTGCAGAGCAGTTTAAGAATTAAATGAGCTATTTGGGTGTGGTGGCTCCCACCTGGAATCTCAGCGATTGGGAGGCTGAGGCAGGAGGATCACAAGTTCAAGGCCAGCCTGCGCAATTTAGCAACACCCTGTCTCAAAAAAAAAAAAAACTTAAAAGGGGTGGCGGGGAGCTGAGGATGTAGCTCAGTGCTAGAGCACCCCTAGATTCAGTCCCCAGCACCATAAAGTTTTCTAAAAATTTTGTAAATAATTATATGAGCTAATAACATGCTAACAATGGTTGGCAGGTTGGCACGAGACAATCACAAGAATTCTCTGTCTCAGAAAACACACAAACTCCCCTTCCTTGGGACTCTTCCCAGAACAGCCAAACAAATGCCAATCATGCCTTTCTCCAACTCCATAACCAGGTGGGCCTCCAGGGCAATTTCAGCACATCTGGTCCTTTCCCTGGGGCCATGGCCTTTAAGTTGAATTGGTTAAATTGAGTTGAGGGTAGACACCTGGAGAGGCAGATGCTGCTGCCAGGCATATCCCACTAGCACCCCCCCCCCAAAAAAAAATGACAGCTATAGAAATGACAATACAAACCCCATGTGTCTACCATGGACTCACTGTTAAACACTCAACACCACACCACACTCCTGCAGTGGGGT